TGGGGAATTCTGGGAGTTGAAGTCCACTCATCTTAAAGGGGCCAAGTTTGGACAACACTGGCATACACAGACACAGACACACACACTCCACATTCTCCTTTAGGATCTCTCCCTTTAACATCCTTATCTTCAACTTGGGCAAGTGGACTTTGAAACAAATCCCTAGCTTGTAGCCACTCACATTTATTTTCTAAGGCTACCTCTATAGTCTGTAAGGGCTCCCAGGTAGTGTTAGAAGTGCAGATGATGAATATGTTGCTTTGATTTGCAGCATGGTAAACTTCCCATTTATAGAACAATTTGCAGCATGGTGCCGTCCTATTTTTGGGAAAAAAAGATAAAAGTCCTTAAATCAAGCTTAGTTTTAGGATGTTTTGCAATTTTCCAGTCTATGGAAGACCCTGGTGGTCCAACCCTAAACTTAATCTACTGTACAACATGTGAAGAAACATGTGTGAGGTCACGACAAATGACTCGGATTCCAGGATTTCTTGCAGACCACTCCAGGGTTTCAGGACTTGTTGAGAGTCTAGGTGTAGGTTTAACATATTAATAAATTATTATTACATTTTGTGTGCAAAAACAAAAGAGGAGTTGATTTCCTAAAAGCCCTTTGTCAGCTGGCCCTGAAAGAGCCTGCCCTGCTTCAAAATCTGCTTCTCTGTCTAATTCATCCTTATCCTCCGAGGATGCTGTTAATGTCCCTGATCTCAAAAAGTTAATCGGGGTTGTGCCTGGCTAGTCCGTGGATGGAAGACCACCAGGAAATGTTGGGGTTGTAGGCTAAACAGGAAGTGGAAAAGACAAGCCATCCTCAACAAAGGCAATGCAAATCACTTCCACATCGTTGCCAAGACGACTACCGAAATGTGTCTGTGAAGCCTTGAAGATTCAAGGTCATTGGGGAGATGGATACCTGTATCTATTTATATATAATAAAAAAGAGTGGGCATCATAGCAAGCATGCCTACATTTCTTTAAATAATCAGTTATCTTCTTTGCTTCCTGGCTTTTGTGTCTGCCCCTGTTTTTGTGTGAGGGAATAAAAACCAAAAAAACACACTCCCACTCTTATTCAAAACAGAAAACAGATCATGAAGACAGGTGAACTCTGCTCCAAAATGTTCAGAGTTGCTATGTCAGTGAAGAAGAACCTTGTGCAATACAGTAACAGAATTATCGTTACACAATCAACATCCTGCCGAACAACTACGAGAGGAAAAACCATTTTCAGCAGTGTGTAGCAGTGAAGTAGAAAGCTCACGGGTCTGGGTCCTTCCCTGTTTCCTTTGAATACATCTGTTTCCTTTGACTTGGAGCCTGTCTTACTCCAACCCTAAGAACTACCATACATAGACTTGGAGAGAGGCTTGTTAAAAGCAAGGATGTTTTTTTTCTCTCCTTTGACCTCCGCCACTCCTTGCAAACAGTAATGGAGAAAGACCTGCTTATTGGGTAAGCTGTGGACTTGTTTCACTGAGTAAGTCATATATATTAGCATGTTCTCTATCTCTGTCTCTATCTCTACTTCTCTTAGTAAGTAGTAGCTCTAGAACAGGAAGAAACAGAGACTTGAAATAATATAGACTAGGGATATTTAGATTTGTAAAGTTTTAAATGAAACCCCATACCAGACTTTACATTTTTTTTTCTGATGTCAGGAATGTTAATTAATGCCAGTCACCATCTGGGTGTGGTTTTGTTCTTAATAGAACAGTGCGTCTATGTTTACAGTTTCAAATTCATTTTTAGCGTATTAGCCTCAAAATATTTCCATAAGATAATTCCTTTAGAACATAGCAACCCAAGAGAAGGTAAATAATTTTGCTCATCTAATTTTTAAGCTTTAATTTCACGTTGGATGGCAATGAATACGTCTGTAACTATATTCAAACTCATATTCTAGGGTTATAAGCAATGCATGGGCTATAAACGTATTTTGAAGTTTGAAAAGGAGGCTGAACTACATCTTTAGGGAGAGGAAGATAGGTTTTTGTTTTCATGTGTAGCTGCCATTCTGCAATCAGAGCTGCACAATTTTACCAATGCGATTGCTGTTTATGCCTGGTTATCTGCACTGGCCAAACTGACATTGATGTTATTGGCAAAGGAAATGATTATGCACAGCAATGTACATTTTGATTTCTTTTATTGTGTCTGTGAATGTACCAAGTCAGCAGTGTTGAATTTGGGACTCAGTACTAAGTACATCCACCTTTCGCAGCCTCAGTTCTCTTTGCAGAACAGAGACGCCAACAACTACCATGTTTTCAGCTGACGGTACCTAGAATGAATGAATGGAGTCTTATCTGCAATATGCAGCCTTTTTTTAATAGTAGTTTTATTAAAAATGACAGTTACAAAATAAAAACTAATACAAACTAAAAACAATTAAAGGAAAAATAGAACGTGCAGAAAAAAATAGAAAGAAAAATAGAAAAGAAAGAAAAAATATAATAAAAAGCAAACAATATATAAAGAAATGACTTTCCCCTTCATCACAAGTGAATATAGAAAAGAAAGAAAAAATAAGAATATAGTAAAGAGGAAGAAAAGAAATATATACAGAAGTGATGTCCCTCTTCATCACAAGTATAAACAATTTTAGTAACTTACCACCTTCTCTTAAAATACAAAAAATGATCTCTTCTTCCCATATCCCATCTCTT